ACTTAAGGTGGAGCAGAGAGAGGAGCAGGAAAGGGCCCAAAGGAAGAAATAGTGACTTTGAGGTCATCTAGGCATGAGCAAGGCCTGACCTCTTACGTTGTCCAGAATGGTCTTGCTTCCTTTGCTTGGGTCCAGAAGCCATCATAAGGAACTTGTTTCTCTTCCCTTTGCCACAGGGCGCTGCACGTGCATGCAGAGAACACAAGGTCCCTTCTCAGAGCAGGTCATGCCATAATCCATTTTCCTCCATCCCACCTGCTGGGCACACACACACATGTGCAGCATGTTTTTCAAGCCGCATGGAATCTGGCTTCCTCTGCATGGCACCAGCCCGGAACTTTAAACTGAGTATAAACTTCACAGGCTGGGGGCAGCAAGTGGATGCAGGGGTTATGGTGCTGGACTCCGAGATAGCCAACTGTGGTTCGAGTGCCGGACCTGGCACTTTGAAACTCATGCAGTGCACGTGTGTGTGCATACTCAGGATCCCAGGAGGAGCAGGGATTGTGGTGTGGCCATCACCCTAGGGAGTGATTTCTCTCTTTCTCTCTCTCTGTGTCTTCAGCAAGCGCATGCACCCTATAGCAAAAATCTCTCCTTAAAAAGAAAAAAATTCACAGGCTGGACTCTGTCACCAGCCCCAAGGATGGGGAGAAGATGCAACTAACTCACCCCATGTACTGACAGAGGGAGCTGGCTGCTTAGGTGCAGGGGGAAGCCACATGTGGGTCTGCCCTGGTGCACGAAGAGGGGCAGTCAGTGTCCCTGCCTGCCTGGACTGGACTGCAAGTTCCCAGGAGGCAGGAACTTCAGTGCTACAACCAGGCAAGTCCCAGCAAACAGGGACAAGATGGTCACACCAGGTTGAAGCCTCCATAAGTACAGCTGCCTCCACACCCCAGCCCCTCTGCATGTAGGTTGGCGTCCAGTTCCCCTGGGTGGTATAGACTCTGCTCCTTACCAGCTCAAGTAGTCGTGTAACCGCTCCAGGCCTCAGTCTGCACGTACATAGAATGGAGCTGACTGTAGTTCCACTCAGGGATTTGTGAGCTTTGTGCCTGGAGAAGCACCTGGCACGCGGTCGCCACGTAAGCATTAGCGATCTGGTATGTTACTCACTCGTTCAGTGCACGCATTACAGTTGCTGTGTTTGATGTGCCAGGCACGTCGTCGGCCTGAGGAACAAAGGTGCAAATCCTGCCCTCGTGGAGGGCATAGATGGACAATAAATGAGTATGTCAGAAAGTCTGCTCGGTGAGAAGCCTATGGAGGGAAAGAAGTAAGCTGGATGAGGGGGCTGAGAGTGCCGGAGAGAAGGCTGCCCTTTTAATACGGTGGTCAGGATGGGCCTAATGAAAAAAAGGATGTGTTTACAGAGTCCTGAGGAGGTGAGGGCACGAGGCCTAGGCAGTGAAGAGGCGGGTGGGCAGAGGGACCACTAGCAGGCAGGAACCCTGGGCTGGATCTCTGGGTCTCCATGAACAAGGAGAAGTAGCAGGAGACAAGGGCTTGTGGGCTGGGCGGCCCATCAGGGGCCTTAGAGGCCATGTCAGGTCTTTGTTACCCAGTTTCACTCCAGGTAAAAGCCACCGTAGGATTCTGAGCAGATGAGTGGCATGCACTAACTCGGGTCACAGATCATTCTGGCAACTATGCTGAGAACAGACTGAACAGGAGAGAGTGAGGGTGGAAGCAAGAACACCAGTTAGAAGACGGCTGCAGCAAGCCAGGCGAGATGGGGGCTTCGACCAGGGTGGGTTTTTTCTCTAGTCATGACAGCACGTGCACACGAGAGCAAGCGAGGTGAGGCCCCTCTAGGGGTACAGTCTCTTGTGACCCCCTTCCTCCAGCCCACCAGATCTTGGGCACTGGTTTGTGTGCCTGATGTGTTTCAGGTTGACTGGGCTGGGGACTTGAACCCTAGTCACCAAGTGAGATTTGACTTCTCTTTAGCAACACATTAGCACACACCAAGGAGCCAGCCCCGTGTATTTGAAGGAGCACTGGGAGGATATATTGGCTGAATGGGTAAAGCGTTGCAGGGAGAGTCAAGGACAATTACAAAGTGTTTATATGAGAGCAGGAAGGGGCAGATAGCCCTGCCCCCTGCCCCTTTTGGGGATGCTTTGGTAGACTGTTTTTGGGGAGGAGGTGCAGAAAGCTGTAGGGGTATCCCTTAGGATGACGTTGAATGTCTGAAGACCTGGCTTGCCCTCACCATCACCTACTAACCTTTACTCAGGAGGGAAAATCACCTCCGCCCTTTCTATTGTGAAGCCTGCTTCTCCAAGAAACACCCTGGGTAGATTAAGGATTTCTCGGGGCTCCTGTTTCCCTCCAGCATAGCAATCCCCAGTTGGCACAGCCTCACTGTCTCCAGTCCCCGGGGAGAAAGAACCAGCAAGGCCTTGCCTGCTGGCACCTCTGCCTCTGCCTGCCTGGGGATGCAGACGCCCTGCCCAAACTCTCCTTTCCCAGGCCCCGGCCGTCTTTCCTGCTGGGAACCTGACTTCTCTGGGTGGTGGAGGCAGGGAGCCTTTGGGAAGGAGCCCAACCTGCATCTAGTGCCTTGCCAAACTCCCTCCCCTGCAGAGCTCAGCTGTGCGCTCAGCTGGGGGCAGGAAGCCACTTCCCTAACCAGTCCCGGTTCCTTCTCCTGAGCTCTAGCAAGAGATAGGGCCCTCAGTCGCTGGGCATGATGGTGCTGCCTGTGATCCCAGCTACTCGGGGGAGGTTGAGGCTGGAGGATCGTGAGGTAGAGGCCAGCCCAGACAACTTGGTGAGACCCTGTCTCAAGAAAAGAAAGGGAAAGGGGGAAGGGGTCTGCACAGGAGTGGTTGTTAGTTCATGCCCTGACCCCACTTTCCCTTCGGGCAGGCTCCCACATCTGTCTTCCCATGAAGACGAGTGTCTGTACTTCTCCGATATTCCCCCGTATTTTGTCTTCTCATTTATGGTAATGTGGGGGCATGGACACATGAGAGAGAGGAGCACCTTCCACGGAGTCTGGTCATGCCGAGTCCTCTCCCTCCAGTCTGTCGGATCCTGGGCAGCCGTACATGTGCCCAGCCTGTCTTAGATGGACCAGGCCAGGGGTTCGAACTATGATCTCCATGTGGGCTTCAGCTTCTCCCGAGCAGTGCATTACTGCTACACCCCAGAGCTGACCCTGATGCTTTTTGTTTGTAGGGTGAGGCCATCTCCGACCCTGTGGACAGTTCTCCTTTCGTATCTTATTCTCCCACATTCACATCTTTTCCTTCCGAAGGTCTTCTTAGACCTAACGCAAACCTCTCCTCTTGCCATTGGGTTCTCTTCAGGGGAGATGGAGGTGGGTGTCTGTCCTCTCACCAGGCCCCGATCCTCCCACTGGTGGGAGAGCCCTTCCTGTTGACTGAGGCGTCCAGTTCTCTGGCCTCAGCAGCTCGCTTTGTCCTCGCAGCTTCCCGTCGTCGGCTGTCCCCTGCTCTCTGGGACGCTCCGAGTGTCCTCTTCCTCCCTAGTTGCTGACTTTTGCCCCACCCTGCCTGTAGGGAACCCACCAGCAGGCAGCCAGCAGCCACCGCCACCGCCAAAACCAGGACTCGTTTGCCGCAGTGTAAATGACTTGGTGAAGGCGGGCTGGCGCCGACTGCCATGTGAGCATCCGCCGTCCCTGAAGACATGGCCCTGGAGTCCAGGAGAGGGCCTGGGGATAAGGAAGGCACTTGGATAATTCTACCTCTCTGTTCTCCCTCTGCGGACGTGTGTGTGTTATGGTGTGAGGTGTGTAAGTGGAGAATGTGGCCTGTGATGTGATGTGTGTGGTACACGTATGGTTGTGTGGTATGTGTGCGTGGTATCCATGGTGTGTGGTATATATGTGAGTGCATGTGGTAAATGGCATGGTATGTGTGGTGTATGTGATACGGAGTGGAGTGTTTGTGGTATATGGCACGCGTGGTGTGTGGTGTATGTAGTGAGGGGTGGTACATGTGTGGTATGCGGCATGTGGTATGTATGGGTGCTGTTTGTGGTGCGGGTGGTAGGTGTGTGGTATTATGTGTTGTGTGTATGGTGTCTAGCGTATGGTGGTGTATGTGGCAGGTGGTGTGTATGGCATGTAGTGTGTGGTGTATGTGGTATGTAGGGTGTGTGGGTGGTGTTTGGTGTGTGGTGGGAGTGGCACGTGCGGTGTATGTATGTGGTGGTGTGTGGCAAGTAGTGTTTGTGGGGTGTGTTTGGTGTGAGGCATGTGTGGAGTGTGTGTGCACGCACAGGTCAAGGAGCACATGTATGTGTTAGCTGGGAGGATGCAACCAGTCAAGGACCACCTGGTACCTGAGAATGCTGCAGCCTCCGCTCGTTGTTCTGTTAGTCAGCTGAACACAGCGCTGCTGTTGGTACCTACTGACGCTTAGTACCTGGCGGGGTAGCAGCACCTCTTTGTGGGCTGGGCAGGAAAGGGGGACGTGCCCTTGGTGGGGAAGCCCAGCAGAGCCTCTGCTCTCATGAGCCCCTAGAGCTCGCAGAACTGGGAATCGAGACACACGGGTGGGCTCTGCCTCCCATGAGGTCTTGCGTGACCTCAAGCTACTCGTCCCTTCTGGCCTTCATGTGAGCCAGAGGAGAATGCTCACTCTGTGTCCACGTCCACACCAGCACTCACATGTGAATGGGAGAGCAAAGCTCTGTGTGAATCCAGAGAGGCATGATACTGTTTATGTTCTCAGGCTGGAGCCTGGAGCATGCTTAGGGGGGAGCAGATGGAAATGCACATCTGGACCAGCCGATCCTGGTTCCTAAGAGCAGCAAGTGAGTCTGGTGACCCCGTGGTCAGCTAGTCCAACTTTGCCCATTTTTAGATGAAAAGCTCCTCACCCCTGAGTCCTGGGCAAATTCAGTGGCTGGCCCCCCTAATCGAATCTCACTGGGCAGACCCAGAGGCCAGGAGTCTTTCAGTTGCCCTCATTGTGTGCCCCGTTTTTCTTACCCACTCATTCACCCTGTCTCCTTTGCAGGTCTGTCTGGGAACCCTGCCGATCTGGAGAAACGTAGGCAGGTGTTTGGACAGAACGTGATCCCTCCCAAAAAGCCCAAGACCTTCTTAGAGTTAGTGTGGGAAGCCCTCCAAGATGTCACACTCATCATCCTGGAGATCGCGGCTGTCATCTCCCTGGTCCTGTCCTTCTACCGCCCCCCTGGCGGAGAGAACGAACGTGAGTGCCGAGCCAGCAGGACTCCGACCTGGGCTCTTCCTACCTCCACCGAAAGCAAGGGAAGTTAGGGGTGATAGGTTATAGCTTAAACCTCCTTCCAGGAATGATCCAGAGTGGGCTGTCCAAAGGAAGCCAACTACTGGGTCATCAGAAATGTCATAATGCATTTTTGCATAGAAACACACAACATGGGAACCAGCAGTTAGCGTAATGGCTATGTTGCTGGACTCCCACGTAGTCGACCGCGGTTCGCGTCCCGGACCCGGTGGCTTAAAACTCAGGCCGGGTGCGTGTGCCTGCATGCCCAAGATCCCAAGAGGAGAATGGAGGAGAAGGGATTGCGGCGTGGCCATCCCCCCTGGGGGGTGATTTCTCGCTTTCTGTCTCTATGTCTCTCTCTCTCTGTCTGGTGAGCGCACGCGCCCTACAGTGAAAACCTCTCTCAAAAAAAAAAAGAAACACGCAACATGGCTTTTCCGATGACCCAGTAGTAGCTAGCAAGCTATTCTTCTAATCTCTCCCATTCCAGGGTTTCTCTCCCTTTTCCCATCAAATCCTTATTCAGAATGGCATGAATATCATCACCCAAACTGACAAAATCCCTGCTTCTCCAAGTGCCCCCTGCCCACCACCAGCTGTCCGGCACTGTGGGAAACCATATAGGAGGTCACAAGGCTTTATTGTTTCGTTTGTAAGTTTCTTGATCTATTTTTCCATAAGTGAAAGGCAGAGGTCTTGAGAAACAGACACCTCACAGAGTCCCGACACCCCAGTCACCCTACCCCTCAACTTTAGCCAGCCCTGAATCGTGGGCACTCTCACGCCTGGCATTCTCCAGAGGTCTCTGGATGAGAATCCAGAACCTTCCCAGAATCCTAAGTTATTTACATGTGACAGGCCTGTAATTTGCATTGACATACTTTGTACTATTGACTCACTTGCTCCTTTGGGATTCGCATAAATAGTTGTACTCGATCCCGCTGATGTTCTCAGAGGATGGCTCTTCTACTGAAGAGTTTTGTTTTTAACATTTATTTATTTATTTACTTGTTGTGATTATCAAGCCACCAGGTCCAGGACTCGAACCGTGGCCCGCCATGTGGGAGTCTGGCACTTTAACCACCATGCCACCTGCTGGCCCTCTACTGAAGAGTTTTGTTTTATGTTATCCTCTGACCCTCATTCTCTACTTTGGAGGCATTATGGCAGGACTGTCCCATTTCCTAATGTCAACCAAAGCCCTTCACTGACAGTTTCTCTTCCTTCGCGGAGTTAGGGTGTGGCCAGGGCAGAGGTAGCCCAGAAGATGAAGGGGAGGCAGAAGCTGGCTGGATTGAAGGGGCAGCCATCCTGTTCTCAGTGATCATCGTGGTGTTAGTGACCGCCTTCAACGACTGGAGCAAAGAGAAACAATTCCGAGGGCTGCAGAGCCGCATCGAACAGGAGCAGAAATTCTCCATTATCCGAAATGGCCAGCTCATCCAGCTCCCTGTGGCCGAGATAGTGGTGGGAGACATCGCCCAAGTCAAATATGGTGAGAGCTGCACTGTCCTCACCCCTGTGCCACCGCCCACATGCACACATCACAGAGCAGGCCCTCAGCATGCAGGGCGGGAACTACTGACCACCCAGTGTGATGAGACCCCTGATTGCATTGGCTGCCGGGGTAGACTTTAAGGAGGTCATGGGAAAGAATTTCAAAGAAAGTCATAGCTGTCCCAAAAGATTGTTGGATTTGTGGCCCGGATGCGTTCGGGTTAAACGTGTATAATATTCAGGCCATGGGAAGGTGCTTGGGGCTCAATACTAGTTTGAATTTATAATGGCTGGAAAGGAAACATCTCAGGTTGTACAGAGCTGACATTGCCTTCAAAAGGCTCTCCAGGTAACTAGAGGTAGTGCCCAAGGGAGTAGCCCTGGGACCGTGTTGAAAGAGGGATTGGTCCCATGCTCTGCTTGGCTCTTCCTGCCCTCCCTCACTGTCCCCTCCTCCCCACGTGCACTAGGTGACCTGCTGCCTGCAGATGGGATCCTCATCCAGGGGAACGATCTGAAGATTGATGAGAGCTCTCTGACAGGGGAATCAGACCATGTCAAGAAGTCCCTGGACAAAGACCCCATGTTGCTCTCAGGTATAGCCTCTGGCTACCCGGGTTCCCATTCTACCTTCCCCAGGCAGCCAAGCTTCCCAGCCATGGGGTACAGACCCTGCTCTCTCCTCCGACCTGGGCCGCCTCCTTCCTTTGGTTTGACCAGGGTAGTAGCATATTGGTGGGCTAAATGCAAGACATCAGGCAACCTGGAAGAGGTTTCTATGACACAGTATGGAGGGTCCTCAGAGGCTCTGCTGGTTTGAGGAGGGGGCCTTACCCTAAAGCATTTGGACGCATCTTCTTCCTTTCCCATAGTTTGCTTGGTCTGTTTGAAACAGGCCCAGCTCCTGCCCTTGTCCTGCTGTCTGCTAAGTGTATCCTTATTCCTTGGGGGAAGAAGGGACTATTTTTTCTCTCTAAGTTCCTGTTTCATACCAAATCATGGCTAGATATTTAAAAAATAAAAATAATATTCCTTTTCATTTTCTTCCCTATGTAGGCACCCATGTGATGGAAGGTTCTGGCCGAATGGTAGTGACTGCTGTGGGTGTCAACTCCCAGACCGGAATCATCTTCACTCTCTTGGGAGCCAGTGAGGATGACGAGGAAGACAAGAAGAAGAAAGGTAAGAGGCATCAGAAGGAGGTTGTCTTATTTCTTATCTCCGTGGAAACTAGGAAGTGAGGGAACAGGCAGGATGGAAAGCCTGGTTGGAAGAAGCTGCTGGAATGAAGAGTGCAGGTATCCAGACTGTGCTGAGATAAGGATATAAAGCCTGGCTCTCTAGGCTCCCTGATGAAAACCAGACCCTGACTCCGGACGCCCAAATCAGGCTGTGTTTGAGTCTCTATTCCTGTGTCTGCTAGCGGGCTGTAAAGGGATGTTACGAAGCCTGCCCCAAAGGAGCTGCCCCAAAGGAGCTGGCGAGGTATTCTGAGGTGCCCTCCAAGCACTCGCCTCCTCCCACCTGTGTCTTCCTCAACAGTGAGGACTATGTAAATCCCCAAGGCCAAGAGGAAACTGGTCAGAAGAAGAAACAGGATTTCTGCTGACCACTGTGGGCTCTCTGTGGAAGAGACACGGCTAGGAGAATGGGGACAGAAAGGTGATAGCTGCCCTGACGTTAGTCCGGCCCTTGCCATGCCCTTGCGTTTGAAGGAAGGAATGACAGAAGGAGAAGGAGAGAAGATACTGAAACCAAATCTATGTCCCCCTCTGCATTTTCCTTCCCTTGGGGAGAGAAGGAGTTCTACCACTTGGCCGGAGGGTCATCTTGAGCTATATAGTGGAGGGCAGTTAATGAAAAGGGAATGAGACACGTTCTCGGCAACGAGACTGTTCGTTTCTACAGCGACCGCAGATGAGTAAGGAGGAGCTTGCCTGGCGCTCTTGGACAGATATGGAGATGCCTTTCAGGGCCTTTGCCATTGGGCAGAAACTGTCCAAGCCTCTCGCTCCCTTACCCTCACCCCGTTTTTTCCAAGCCAGCAGCACCCTGCTAACAGCAAACATGCTTCCAGAGAAAGCAGCACGGGTGTGGGTGTGCCCTCAGCTGCATGAGCATTTTGGCCAGTATCCCAAGGGTTCATTAGAGCCTCTGGTAGCAATGAATGAAACCGGAGATGTGCACGTCCTTTCCAGTGATTTCTTTCCCTGCAACCCAGCCCCTTTGCTGTTGCCCTTCTGGGCTCTGAGCAGGACCAACACATTAGATATCTGATCTCTGGATTTTTTTATTTTTTGAGAGGTTTCTGCTATAGGGTGCATGCGCTCGCCAGAAAGATAAAGAAAGACAGAGAGACAGAAAGCGAGAAATCACCAATCACCCCCCCAGGGGTGATGGCCATATGAGTAAGGAGGAGCTTGCCTGGCGCTCTTGGACAGATATGGAGATGCCTTTCAGGGCCTTTGCCATTGGGCAGAAACTGTCCAAGCCTCTCGCTCCCTTACCCTCACCCCGTTTTTTCCAAGCCAGCAGCACCCTGCTAACAGCAAACATGCTTCCAGAGAAAGCAGCACGGGTGTGGGTGTGCCCTCAGCTGCATGAGCATTTTGGCCAGTATCCCAAGGGTTCATTAGAGCCTCTGGTAGCAATGAATGAAACCGGAGATGTGCACGTCCTTTCCAGTGATTTCTTTCCCTGCAACCCAGCCCCTTTGCTGTTGCCCTTCTGGGCTCTGAGCAGGACCAACACATTAGATATCTGATCTCTGGATTTTTTTATTTTTTGAGAGGTTTCTGCTATAGGGTGCATGCGCTCGCCAGAAAGATAAAGAAAGACAGAGAGACAGAAAGCGAGAAATCACCAATCACCCCCCCAGGGGTGATGGCCATACCGCAACCCCTTCTCCTCCATTCTCCTCTCGGGATCTTGGGCACACACGCACACATGCCCGGGTCTGGGACTCGAACCGTGGTCGACTGTATGGGAGTCCAGCAACGTAGCCATTACGCCATCTACTGATCCTGATATCCGATCTCTTAATAGTCACTTTTGGGTCTCCACCCCACTTTTTTCTTTCTTCTTCAAACAGGTAAAAAACAAGGAGTCCCTGAAAATCGCAACAAAGGTAACCTCTCCATCCACTCATTTACCATCTCTACCTGCCACACTCAAATCAGACCTTTCCAGGCCATCTGCCTTCTCCCTTTTCCTCTCCATAAATCCGTTACCTGCTGCTGTGCCCAGATGCCTCATCCGGAGGAAGGTGCAGAGATAGGGCCCAGTCCCAGTCTAAGATGGGACAACAGCACCCTCTGCTGTTGGCTTACAGAACCTCACGTTAAGGCTTTTCTTGGGGTTGTGTAGGATTTACCTCTTCCTAGAGTGCCGAATTCTTTGCTTCATTGCCCTCAGCCTGATTTAAACATCACTGGTCATCAGCTCCAGGGACTTCAGGGTCCTTACTGTGGTGGAGGGAGTTGGGTGGGCAGTCCCTGCACCCTCCTCTTGCTAGCTGCCTCATCCGTGTCCTCTTCTGGTCTGGATTCCTTCTCTGCTGATCTTCGGGGGCTGCTTGGAGAGAGCCCTTTCTCAGGATCTCTCTCGCACCCATCTCTTTCTTTGTTCTCGCCACAGTCTGTTTTCTTCCTCCTGATCTGATGTGTGTTTCTCTTTTGGTGGCCGTGTTTACACCTCGTCTCTGTCTTATTTGTGAGTCTGATGGCGGAGACAGCGTCTCAGGAAGGGCCCCCTTCCAGGGGATGAGCTCTGCAGGGTGAAGTTGGAGGGGGATTGGGAACAGCAAGAATGTTCTCTTGAGACACTCCTAGAGGTGTTTTTCCTTAGTAACTCACATCACAGCAGTCTTTAGGTATGACGTCATCACATTGGCGAGCCAGGGCTAATCAGAAATAATTCTTTCATTTTAAATCTTTTTCACTCTTCTTTCAAAAGTAAAATTCACTTATATGTCTGTCTTTATCCCTGCTCTCTCTTAATTTAGAGGACCCTCATACTAACTTCTTTCCTCCCCTGCAAAAGACTTAACCCCAGGCCCCTCTCTATACCCCCCTGCATTTGTCAAATGGGAAAAAAAGAGCATTACCTTCCACTCTCCTTCAACTGATAGAAGAAGGAGCTGGAAAATACCCGAGGTCTAGGGGTCTGTTTCTTCCCTGACAATCAAGAGAGAGAGAAAGAGATGAGCCTTTTAACAGAGCGGGCCAGGACCCTTATGTCCTAGGAACATCTGGCAGCCTTCCATTCAGCCCCTCTTTGCAATAAAGGTTCACTATTTTAAGCACTGAATTCCAGGAAGTGTAGCTGTTGGTAATAGCACTTAGTGGTGTGATTAATTCCCCTGCTGGAATAAAGCTGACTTGACGCTCTGACATGGTACCAGGAAGCTGCCACTGGAGAGGAAATCCATATCTGAGAGCACCCCCGTTTCATCCACAGGTGTTAGGATGTCATTTCAAAGGCCGTAATAGAGAGTTGAAAGCAAGTTCCATGCCTGGCCTTGGGTGGGAATGGCCAGACCTGATGTCAGGAGCCCAAGGTGGTGTATTCCAGGAAAAAGACAGAAGGGGTGTGGATTTCTACCCATTTGCCTGTCAGCCACCACCTTGCCTGCTCACCTGTCCTCTTTATGTGTACATCCTAGCAAAGACCCAGGACGGAGTGGCTCTGGAGATCCAACCACTCAACAGCCAGGAAGGAATCGACAATGAGGAAAAGGACAAGAAGATATCCAAGGTGCCCAAGAAGGAAAAGTCGGTGTTGCAGGGCAAGCTCACCCGGCTGGCTGTGCAGATCGGGAAAGCAGGTGAGTAGGCCAGCATCTCGTTGTTGTTTATCAGGGTTTCTCAAGGTCTTCCCCACTTCGATCCCCTTCCTCTACGTCAACCAGGACTGGCAGAAAACAAAACAAAACAAAAGCTGAAACGTCTAAATGGCTGGTGGGGTCTGCATTGCTCTCCCTCTCTCTGCCGCCTTTTGGGCATTTCTGGGGCTTTTTAGAGAGCAGTGTTTTCCAATGGCTAAAGATGAATGGTTCTGAAGTCTCTTCCATCCAAACAGATGGGAAGTAAAGAGCATAAATCACAATAGGGGCCATGTGCATTAGCAAGAAGGAAGAGTAATGACCACAACGGTGTCTCCTGTCTCCTGTTTCAGCTTGTAAATTCCTCAAGGATAGAGAAGGCTGCAGATTGCTGGAGGCAATTCCCCAGCAGAGGAGAAGCATCTGGCCTAGCACAGAACAATAAATATGAGATGAAGACTGGAGGGGAAAGGAAGACAATGGTTAGAGAGGCTCTCTCCAGGGGAGCATCACTAAGTGTGTGTGTACAGTGAGAGGAAGTGGCTTCCCCATCACTTCCCTCTCCTTCCTCCTGCCTTCCACCACCTCCATTTAATGGTAGGCGGGGTGCAGGGGAAATGAGAGGAAGATTGCTCCTTCCGAGCACACATACCCCAGGTCTCGTACCACTGTCCACACCCCAGTCAGGCCCCCGCTGAGCACCATCATAATCAGCACATTGCTGTGTGTCATTCACCTGGGGTTTTTGTCGGTACAGAT